TTAAAACACCTTTTTGGTTCCTCGACAACGGCGCCAAATACTTTGCGCTTGCACTTTCCTAGGGGGCCCTCAAATAATTCAAGCCAACGTTTGAACGTGGATTGACATTTGAACGTGGTACTCAAGTACCTCTTTGTTTTTCTCCTTAGCTGCAACACGCCATGTATCATCACTTCAGTAGTCTGGTCCTCAAATAATTCAAGAGAATGTTCAAACCTGGATTGGTGTTTGAACGTTAATGCCTTTTTTCTAACTTCTCCAATTTTCGTCCAAAACATGTGGATGTTGCATGAAAGTTTGGTATCCTATTGACTTTAGGTCCTTGCACAATTTTTCTCCTAAAATGTCATCATTGAAACTCTATCAAAGCGTAATTAGTTTTAAAAAAGGCATAGTAAGTTGCAAATTTTAACTACTAATTTGTACCTCTCGTTGCTCCTCAGGTTGGCCTCCATGGCTTTTCTCAAAGATGTCTTGTCTAACGGTGCAAAGTGCTCTACCATTGGCCCTAAGGGATCTGTGATCACTCCCTTTTTCTTGCACAACTCATAAACTATCATAGCATATGAAAGTGAGGTCTTCTTTACTTTCATAGTCAACATCATTTGATCCATGATCAAGCTTGACAAATCCATAGTATGTCCCATCCCAAAATCATATAGGAAATAGGCTCTCTTAGTGTATATCTGGTTTTTCTGGGACTGGGATAATAGACTGTTCATAGTTATCAAGTTCAAAATCCTATATTTGTCCATCAAAGCCCCTTGCTTGATGTATTTATTTGGCCTCCACCGTACATAGTCTGAGTTCCCCGTCAATTGTATCCCTATCTCAGTCATATTAGGCAATGAAGTGTAAGGGTATTCTGGGTTTAGATGTCTCAGGAGGGGATGGAAAAAATTTGCAATATTAGCCGGTGTAACTTGGAAGGCCACTCCCCTAACAAACACATGGAATTCCTTAGGCCCAATTTTTTTTGTATTTCTATAAAATTCATGGACTAGGCATTCATATGCAGGAGCAATAAACTTAACATAATTTAACCACCCACACATAGCAAGATTCTATCAAACTCTGATATGTTCAAAATCTTCGTAGATGACAGGTATTTTGGCAATAATAGTTTTAGAGAGAAAATAAGTGTCACACTAGACTTATTGTTCAATGGTCTTGAACATCGTAGTGTTGAAGATATTACATGCTTGGGGTTGCTACGGGGGTGCTTTGGGTTGGGAAGATTAGCCTCTCGTTGCCCAAATTGAAGAACCTCTTGTTCTCATTCTTGGATCCATATTTTCTTGATTTCTTCTTTTAATGGATTCTGATTGGTAAGAACCTAGAAAATAGTATGGGTAAGTGTTTAATCGGAAGAAATTTGAAAGAAAACTGCTAGGTGAAGAGAATCTTAGGAGAAAAGGCAGAATGAGGCTAGTATTTTTCATATTTTGCTGTGAGGAAAACCAGAAACTAATCAGTTTCACGCCTATTTGGTTTTTAAATAGGTAGTACTGCCCAAACGCCGCCACCACCGTCCAGACGGTGAGGATCCACTGGTTTTTGCTTTGTGCTGTAGGCTACTATCCCTTGGTATTCTACTGATTTCCTGCTTCAGCTTATTTTCCTATAGTTTCAAACATCAGTTTACTTCCAAAATTACACTACTAATCCACTAACAATCCTACAATTAACTACTAAAATAACACATTAAACTACTAACATTCTAAAATTATTATAACAATCATATTTACATTTATACAAATCAAAATTCATTCATCCCTTGATCAATTTAATAAGAATCTTCTTAATCAACACTATCAGTGAACCAATTAATCTCACATTTCATGTAACTTGAAAGCATGGGACTGGAATAAGATGGCGTCTTTGGGTATTCCTTACTCTACCCATACCTAATCTAGTCAAGAAGACCTAATGCTCGACCCAAAATTGGTTTGCACACTGATTGTATTCTCTCAAATGTTTTAACGAATGCACCTCACACAACCACTTAGTTGTTTTGCTCGTCGACTTTTGGCAAAAGAACTTTTTTCGCACAAGGGTTTTGCTTGATTGTCGACAATTTCTAACTTTCTAACGACCCTTGCTTTTTCTATGATCAAAGAATGTATATATTTTGAAAAAATGTATAGCATACTCAGACTAAACCAAAAACAATTGCACATCCATCTTTTTTGGAAAATTTTAAAATTTGTTTAAAAATTGAATCGCTATCTGGTTCTTTAACATCTACCAGTCACAATGACGAATATGGATTGTTCCTTCCCCAACCTAAATTTCACATTGTCCTCAATGTAAAACATAATGAAATAGAATATTAGACAATTGCTAATAAGATTTAGATACGAGACAAATCCATAATGCAAAAACCTAATCTTTAAACTACAAACGACTATTACTACTCTTTACAATCAAATACTTATAAAAACTTTACAAAGCGCATACACTGGTTTCATTAGCTGAATGGAACTCACATCTTGTAGGGGCCTGTCTATCTTGACCTTAACTTAGCAGGAAATAAATGGAGTCTTGAATTATATAACAGGACTTTCTGAGCAGGTTGAAAAGACTTCCACACTATATTCTTGTCATGAAAATTTTCATTATGAACCTAGCAGTCTTAGCATTCTCATATGCTTCATTTTTTAACTCTTCTAATTCATTAATTTGAAGTTTGCGGGGGATGCACTTGCTTTGTCAATATCAAAGTTCATCATTTTGATTGCCCAATATGCTCGACGTCCAACTCCACAAGCAAGTGAAATAGTTTACCGTAAACTAACCGATAAGGAAACATTCCAAAAATAGTTTTTTATGCGGTAAGATAAGCCCAAAGTGTATCAGTCAGTCTTAGAGATCAATTCTTGTGGTCCGGATATACTATTTTTTCTAAAATATATTTTATCTCCCTATTGGCCAATTCAGCTTGTCCACTTGTCTCGGGATGATAAGGGGCAGATATCTTACGAGAAATCAAATACTTTTTCTTGAGGTTTTCAAAAAAATTATTAGAAAAATATTTTCCCCCATCACTGATAATGGCTCTGGGGATCCTAAATCTTGACAAAATATTTTCTTTTAAAAACTTGACCACTGTGCAGTGATCATTATTTTGACACAGGATTGCCTCTACCCATTTGGAAACATAATCAACATCAACCAAAATGTAAAGATAACCGAAGGATAGGGGAAAATGGTCCCATAAAATCGATGTTCCAACAATAAAAAATTTCAACGATCAACATAGGTTTTAAAGGTATCATTTTTTTTTTGAAATATTCCCCATTCTTTGACATCTATCACAGTTTAGACAAAAAATATGCACATCTTTAAAAAGAGTGTGCCAATAAAATCCATACTGCAATATTTTAGCAGCGATTTTCTTTGAAGCAAAATGTACTCTGCAAGCTTCGGAATCGCAAAATGGGATAACCTGGACAATTTCATGATTGGTTACATAATACCGTATTATTTGATCTTTAAAATATTTAAACACATAGGGATCTTCCCAAAAGAAATTGCGTCAATGATCGTGGGAGGGGCACAACTTTCGGTCTAGAGAGAGAAACTTTGGCTTCTCTCTAACTTTTCATTTCATCTTCAAGTTTCACTAATTTTATCAAAATTTCTTCGTTTCTTTTTCAAACTTTTCCTCTAATTCTTATTTTCCTTAGTTACGGCTACAATCCCACCAAAACCTCCTAATATTAAGAGAAATTTTGCTTCCTTGTTTACAAAATCTGTGAGTTCTTCAAAAATTGATGAAGTTACATCTGGTTGTGGAAATGAGGGTTTGTCTTCTATGAGTCAATCTAGTCTTGGTTTCCCTTCTGTTATGCCTCCTTTGGTTAACCAAATCTCTTCATTTGGTCAAATACCCATAATCACTCCATCGTTCACTCAAAATCCTTTGGTTTCTCAAGTTCCTTCAAATGCTAGTTTTTCATTGATTGATAAGGGTAAGGTTACTGAATCTTCTATTCCTTCTATGGATATTCCTAATAATATGAATCCTGTATTGGCATCTATGGCTATTCCAAAATCTGTGAAGAGGGTTGTTTAAGATAAAGGCGAACTAGTTACCTACTAGACCCCTTCCAAAACTTTGTAACTTTTGAAACAATTACATCAAGCTCTGATAGGAAAGTGTGTATATGGGTGACCTTCATTGGGTGTGATAAAAGAATTCATTAACTCTAGATGGTTGCCAAAAAGAGATTTTACTATGGGAGAGATCCAAGGCATGTGTTAATTCGTTTCTCAGTCTATGAGGATTACTTAAAGACTTGGTTGAAGGACATCACATACATTGAGGGGTACCTATTTCATTTTTTCAAATGGTTTCCCGAATTTTACCCTAATATTGAACCCCTAATTGTACCTATTTGGATCTCTTTACCAGGACTGCCCATTAACCTCTTTAATGTAGAGAGTCTTAGGGATATCTTGAGTCCCATTGGTAGAGTGTTGGTTGTCGATAATCCTATGTTACAACTATCCAGGTCTGGTGTTGTGAGGGCATGTGTGGAAGTAAACCTTCTAGCTAAGAATCCCTCTAGATTTTGGTTGGATTTTGGGGGTTTAAGTGGTAGATGGTAGAGAATTGTGTATGAAAAAGGAGTGAAGTATTGTAAAAAGTGTTTAAAGCAGGGGCATGGAGATTTGGAATATAGAAGAAATGTGTCTAGGAAGTGAGATAAAGATGTTGGTAAAGAAGGTGGTACTACAAAGAGTAAATAACCTGTTGTTCTAGTGGCTCAGGGAGAGTTGATTGGTGGAAATAATAACAGGGAATGACAAGTAGTAAAAGGTGTAGTTTATAAGGAGAATCAAAGTATAAGGGGGAGTTCCCCTGTGCAAATTGATGGAAATAGGTTTCATTTGCTTAGAGGGAACCATTCTGGTAAGGATGATCATGTTCAACAGAAGCAAAGGAGTAACGAATTTGCTAATTTTTGTCTGGGTTTGTGGATGATAGATTACAGAAGGAGATGGAGCAAGTTATGTTAAATGATGTTTTGGTTACTCAAGATAAGGGTACTACTACTTTGGGGCAGTCTGTTTGTTCACCTCAAGGAGATGGTGATGGAGTGGAATTATTGTCTAGTTTATTGATTCTCCAATGCAAGTGGATCAGGTTAATCTTATTTCTCAAACTAGTCAAAGTATAGCTATGTTTAGTTCTGGTGAGGTGGGATCTAAGAGTATGGCTGGTCAAGATAATAATCAGTATGTGAATTAGATGGTTATTCTTGAATATCTGGTTCTTTGGCTAGGTTGGAGACAATTAAAGGGAATGTGAGGGATGGAAAATATAGTTTTGAGTTCTGCCATCTGAATAAGCTAGCTTCTCAATCTAAGAACTCTGCATTTTATGTCTAGATGATCTTCTTCGGCTTTAGATGATGAATGTGGTTTGGTAAGAAATAAAGAACCTCCTGATAAAGGCTTCTTTTCAGATTCTGGTAGTACGTTACATAGCAGGGAATTGTTGGGAAGAGTTGTAGCTGATAGTGAAGGTTCTAAAGATTCTGATGATGTAACTTTGGAATTTTCATCTGCTGAGGTGGAAAATAGACTAAGGTTGAGAGAGGAGGGTTTTCCTCTTCATGTTTAATTTATTACTATGGAAAGAAATGGACTTTTGTTGTATAGATTCCTATGGGATTTGCATTATATTTTCTTTCCTAATCAGACTTTTTGTTGGGTGGATTTTTTGTTGAGTTTCATAATAGGCATGATGGTAGTAGAGGTGTGTGCTATTTTTCATGATGAATTTACTTGTGTGGAATATAAGGGGGGTTGTTTTTCATGATGAATTTACTTGTGTGGAATATAAGGGGGGTAAGCAAGGTTGCTCTGAGAAGACGATTGAAGAAACTACTGAGAATATATGGTGTACCTATGGCTGCTATTTTAGAGCCTAAGGTAGGTGTTGAAAAAATACAGAGGTTTGCTTTTAGTGTGGGTATGCCTAATTTTACTGTGAATAAGTTGGCAGAGAAGTTCATTTGGCCTCTATTGGATGATCAGTTGGAAGTTAAAGTTCTATTTGTGCATGCTCACTCTATTACTATGGAGGTTTCATATTTGGGATCTGAAGGGGTGATTATTTCTTTTGTTTATGTTGCTTGTGACTATATTTTAAGGAGGCCTTTATAGGATCACTTGCTATAGTTGTCTATTCCTCTGAACTTGCCTTGGATGGTGGTTGGTGATTGCAACTTCATTTTGTGTTCTGAGAGAGACTAGGGGGGTTCTCATCCTTCTATGAGTGCCATGGGGGACTTCAATGATTTTCTTTTGAACTCTGGTCTTACAGATGCGGTTTTCTTGGGGAGCAGATTTACCTGGTGTAACAATTGTCAAATGAGTGCTTGGATGTGGCATAGAATTAACAGGGCTTTATTGAATCCCATATGGGGGGAATTGTAGGGGAAAACTGAGCTTATGCATTTAGCGAGGGGGAAATCTGACCATTCCCCTTTGTTGATTAAAGTTATTGATCAACAGGCTCAAATTTCTTATTTCAAGTTCCAAAATATGTGGCTAGAAAGATAAAGGCTTTTTTATGTTTGATAGCTTCAAAATGTTCTAGTGCTTTTTCATCAAATCCTATTGAAAATTTATTTTTGAAATTGAAACATTTGAAAGTTCATATGAAGAAATGGAATGTGAAAAACTTTGGAAATATTTTTGAGAAGATTAGAAGGAAATAGATGGAATTATCAAATGTTGAGATGGAGGTGGAACTTCTTGCTTCTGCTGAGAACTTGCAGCTTCTTGTGAAAGTTCAAGGTGAGTTAGATGATATTCTTCTTTTGGAGGAATTATATTGGAGATAGAAAGCAAACTTGAGATGGGCAGTGGAAGGAAAAAGGAGCATAAAATTTTAGCATACCTTAGCAAAAGGGAAATATGTGAGGAATAGAATTTGTAGAATTTAGAATTCAGCTAGGATTTGGGTTCAGTCTGAGGAGAGATTGGATTTGTTGCAGAGGATTTTTTTTTCTTTGTATTCATCTGAATCTCATCAGATTGATGAAGATTTGATGTTAGTTATACCTCAATTGGTTTTAGATGTTCAAAATGTTGAGTTAGTAGAGTTGGCTTCTTTGGAGGAGGTGAAAACAGTGGTTTTTTCTATGTCAAAGTATAGTGCTCCTGGTGTGGATGGACTTTCACCGGGTTTCTTTCAAGGGGCATGGGATGTTATAGAAGAGGATTTACTTGTGGCTGTAAAGACCATATAGGAGGTTGCATAATTGGTGCAGAAATAAGCATGCTTTTTAGTTTATCAAAGGCTAATTGACATGCATTATTCCAATCAAATGGTACATCCTAACATAAAAGATTACACATAGGCCTAGATATCGAATTAAAATCCTTAATGAATCTTTCTGTAGAATACAACATGACCTAAAATGGATCAGATATCTTTTATAGTCTGGGGTGGAGGGAGATTGGATATTAAATTAATTTTAGACTTATCGACTTCAATTCCCTCTGCTAAAACTACATGACCTAAAACAATACCCTATGTGACCATGAAATGACATTTTTTCCAATTCAACACAAGGTTTGTTTTGTCACATCGGGTAAGAACTTTTTCAAAATTTTCCAAACATAATTCAAATTAATCACCATTTAAAGCAAAATCATCCATAAAGACTACTCGAAACCGCTCCACCATATCACTGAAAAATGCATAACATACAACGCTGAAAAGTAGTTGGAGCATTGCACAATCCAAAAGACATTCTTTTCTAAGCAAATGTGCCAAAGGTACATGTAAAGGTGGTTTTCTCCTGATCATCAATTGGAATCTCAATCTTGTGATAGCCGGAATATCCATACAAGAAACAATGGTATGCGTGATTGCCTATTCTTTCTAGGACTTGATCTAAGAATGATAAAGGAAAATGATCTTTTCTAGAGTGAATTCAATTTTCGATAGTCAATACACATACGCCAACCAGTGACTGTACAAATAGGGAATAATTCATTTTCTTGATTTTTTATAACAGCAACACCAAATTTTTTTGGCACTACCTGTGTAGGGCTAACCCATTTACTATCAGATATAGGATAGATGATATCAACATCTAACAGTTTAAGCACTTCTACCTTGACTATTTCTTTCAAATGCGGGTTCAATCTTCTTTGTGGCTATCGAATGGTTTAGAATCTTCTTTTAAGTATATGCAATTAGTACATAGAAGAGGACTTATTCCCTTTATATTTGCTATTGACCAACTGATAACACTTTTTATGATTTTTTATGACTTTTATCAATTTATTTTCTTGAACTTCTGACAACTTTGAAGATATTATTACTAGATGAGTTGCATCCTCCCCCAGGAAGACATATTTCAAGTTAGTTGGGAGAGGTTTCAATTTTGGCTTAATAACTTCAACATTGGGCTTTACAGACTTGGGTTCAGCATGCGGTAAATTTTCAAATTGTGGACTCCATGTTTCAATGAATGACACATCCACGGACTGTTAATTATGTAAAGACTATAATGCATGTGACTCATTTTTTATACACTCTTTTTCAAACAGACTCTGAGTTAACAACTCGACACAATTTACTTCACTTATCACCTCTTCTTCTCTAGGTTGTTTTGCCTAAATGCATTAAATTCTAAGGTCATGCTTCCAAATGAAAGTTTCATGATTGCATTCCTATAATTAATCAATGCATTTGATGTAGCAAGGAATGGTCGACCTATAATGACAGGAATGTATGTAGATGCATTCAGAACTGGCTGTGTATCTAAGACAATGAAAGCCACTGGAAAATAGAATTTATCAACTTAATCTAACACATCCACTAATTAAACCTACTTAATATGTAAATTAATATAATTAAATAAGTTAATTTTATAAGATAAAACAATTAAAAACTATGTATTAGGGTTTGTGCGTAAGCTGGGGTATTATTTGTGTACTATCTGAAATTTCAAGGTTTTCGAGCAGAATTACCAAAAAATATGAGGAGTAATCTGTCAAAGCTTGAAACAACAAGGGAGTCAAGTATAATTCAACAATAAAGAACATGCAAGAAGGTCATGGAAGCTCCACTAGCAAACAAGGACCGTCCAGACAGTGGTGGTGGCGTCTGGACCGTGGTGTTAGGCGTTTGGTACTTATCCTCCATCTCATACTTCATCTTTGCCTATATATATGGCATGTTGCCTTCATTTGAAACCGGCTTGGCCGCTCTAGGATAGGAGATAAAGAAAGGAAAGAGAGAGAAAGAAAAGGAGAAAAAGAAAAGAGAAAGAGAGAAAGTCATAGAGAGTTCAAGATCCTATCTGTCCTTCTCTCCAGCCAAAACTTTGTATTTCTACATTTCTGTTATGTCTTTCTACTTGGAGAGCTGAACTACCGCCACTTTTGTGTCTTAATCGATATTAAGGGTGGTTGTAGTTCAATTGTTTCTTGCGAAAGAAGTGTCAGTATCTGCATTTTATTTACTGTTGTAATAATAATTACCCGCTCTTCTTACTTGTTTATAGTAATGGGGTGTGAGTAGTTACTTATACCCTTCAATAAGAGGTGAACATATGTATAATACTAGTTAACTTCTGCAAATGCTGATGTTTTATTATGCTACATATATATGTATATATGTATATACATATATATATATACACATGTATATATATCTATTATTGTGAACTTCTTACTTGATACAATAATATACGTATTGAAGGTGAACTTCTTAGTTGAATTTTTCTATAAAAGAAGGTGAAAATTTTTATTAATGTTGGGAAAGATTTAAAGGTCTTCTCCAAGCTTGTCCACATCATGCATTTGAAAATTGGACTTTAGTTGACTTTTTTATGATGCTTTTCCACTTGCAATGCTACAATTTTGAAATGATGGTGCAGGGGGAATTTATGAGTGAAAATATGGAAGAAGCATTTCAATTTTTTGATAATATTTATGACAGTTCCCAGATGTGGGACTCGACTTCTTCAAATATAGTAGCAACTAAGTCATCTACATCCAAAAGATGAAAATATGTTTTAAAAGAAGATGATGACATAAGAGCTAAAATGGTTAATTTATCTCGAAAACTAGAAGTCTTAGAAAGGAACAAAAAATAAGCAAGTGTTTGTTGTATCTACTACTGATCAAATGTGTGAAATTTGTGCGTTGTCAGGACATACTGCAACAGAATGTCCAACTATACCTGCATTTAAAGAAGTGTTAATTGAACAATCTAATGTTGTTCCAACTTATAATAAGCCTTATACAAATCCATACTCTGAAACTTACAATCCATAGTGGAGAAATCATCCAAATTTTAGTTGGAGAAATACAAAACCCACAAATCAAACACAAGGTCCACCACAACCACAAAATCAACAACAATATCAACCATATCAACCCCCACATAAAAGAACTCTGGAAGATAGTATAAATCAATTTATTCAAAGTCAAACAAGTTTTATTACTCAAACAACTCAAACTTTTAATGATTTTAAATCTCAAACTTCTCAGTGTATTGAAGATATCAATAGTCATCTAGCTAAGTTAACTTAGTCTCTGGTTGTGTTAGAAAAAGGAAAACTTTCATCTCAACCTAAACATCTACAAAGTCAAAATCAAGTTAATTTCGTGTCTTCTAAACCTTCTCCAAGTACAAGCAATCACCACATTAAGAAGTGATAAGGTGAATGAAAAAACTACTAAACTTAAAATTTCCAAGAAAATGTGTAAGTCAATTTCTATTAATAAACCACTTGAACTTGACCCTTCAATTGAAAAACAACCAGAAATACAAAATGAGAAAGAGCATATGTGTCCTATTCTTTACCTTTTCCTCAAAGGGTCAAGAAGCCTCCATCTGAAAAATATCAAGTTGAAATCTTCGAACTATTTAAACAAGTCAAGATTAACATTCCTTTGTTGGATGCCATTAAACGAGTTTGAACTTATGCTAAGTTTTTAAAAGATCTTTGCACTATAAAAAGAAAAAATAATGTACCAAAGAAAGTATTTATAACTGAAAAAGTAAGTCCTATAGTATAGCACAACACTCTTCTTAAGTACAAAGATCCTGGTAG